ATTAATTTTACATCAACCTGTATTCATCAATTCACTTATAAAAATTAGTATTATAGATCTTTTCTTCAAAAGGATTCACTTTAAGACTTCAATCTTTTGACCCTGTTTTATCTCTTGTTCTTTCTCAGACGACAACTTTAATATCGTCATTTAAACACTAATCTACTTTCAAACTCACATTATTACCAGAAATGTGTCACGTGTTAAATGGCCCTACTGACCACAATCAAGACACTCTCTGTCATCTGGTGAATTTGTTTCAGCCTCAACTACAGCATCACGCCCTTGAAGCAGTGTGTCCCATTCAGGAATGCAAACAGAGCTACTGATTAAGCAGTTCTCTGTATTCTTTTACAGTCCACCAGTGGCTGATTTAATCATAATAACCCAATCATAATCTTCATCATTATTATTGGCAGAACATTAATTTTCATAAGCTGCAAAATACTCTAAGTTGTTTTCACAAAGTGTCTGTTTAACTTTAGTCGCTTGTCGAGGGAAATTATCCCTGACCCAGAATTTCTTCCACTTGCTTCTTGTAATCATCGTAAGCAATACAAGGCTAAACATTTTAATTTTTCTGTTTCTTTGTTTGTTTGTAGCCAGTCAAGTTGTTTAAATTTCCAATCAGAATCAAAATCCTGACTACCATTTACTTAATCATTTCTGCAAATTTATTTAAAGTGAGGGCTTTAGAGCACAGCTGCTTACAACGTTTGCTTTTCCTGTCTCACTATTTGTTTCAGGACTCTTCAGGTTACTGATTAAGTTATTACATTTTTCTGCCATATCTTAATCATGGTTCATACTCACCTGAAGTTATTGCAGAAATGGAGGCGGCGATCTTTGAACAACACAGCTTGGCTTCTGCGTGATGAAACTGCAAAGTATACTCCAAAATCACAGTTACATATACTGGTCCATGCCAATTTGGGTCACAACTTTTTAAATTTTTCTCTCGGAATCGTTCCTGATGCATCCCTGGCAAACAACCCTATTATTGTTAGTATCCCTAACTGCCTGATTCACTTCACTAAGTTCGGGGATCCCCTATCTGAGATGGAAGAGATTGAGCAGGTTTACGGTGCCACTGGACCTCTAGCCCAGGGACGTGCTCTGCTGGGGTGGTGCTACACCAGTAATGCCCAGCGGGGCCCCCACAGAGCACGCTTCGCTTGCGCTGTCTACTGCCGTTACCCTTAACGACGCTCTCAGCGACTTCTTATACTGTCAGCAGTATAATTAACTTACTCCTTCACTCGCCTCATCGGAGTGAAGCTTCACTCGCCTCATCGGAGTGAAGCTCTCCCGCTCTCCTTCAAAATCTCTTCCAGTCAGACAGCCTTAACAATTAACAAAAGCTTACTACCTTGTTTGTTGATTTGCCAGGGGTGTCACCGAGAATAATTGCCAGCGCATCCTCCACCATAACTGTAAGGGGTGTACAGTCAAAGACCCAGAACCAGATATGAAGAATGAAGACCCGGAGTCAGAATTATAAAAAATTAAAGAAAAGTTTTACTGAAGATAGTTTGCATTTTCATCAGCAGAAGTCAGCTTCAAGACTCACATAGGAGTTCGTAGGCCGCCCCCCTTACAGTTACAAAGATCACAGCAGTTATACCATTTCCAAGGTCTAAGCTACGTCATTGCTTACAGGTTGAATGATTCTCATTGGCTAAGAAACATTAAAGCCTAAACAATTTAACACATGTGAGGAGATAGGGGTGCCTATCGCCATTAGTAAAGATAGTTGTCGTCCACTCATTGGATTTAGGTCTGTGGTGGCCTCGCAGGTTAGAGAAGGGCGCCGGGGTGTCTGGTCCGAACGTCCAGAACCTACATAGAATGTCATACGCACACACACACAAATAACAGACACTAGCAAATAACAGCTCCCATCAAGGCTGAAGAGAGTCTGAGCTCCTTATTATCAGTTAAGTATACCAAAACATACTGCTAAAACATTCACTCGTTTGGGAGAAAAACAGATCACTGGTATTTACTCCCAAGGAAGGAAATATACTGGAAAGAATACATTTTAATACAACAATTAAAGTTTGATAGTAACGCTCAATATAGCTTGACCATATGTCCAACGAAGGATCATATGTGTCCACGCTGCCTTTAGGACCCTCTAACCTTTCTACTGATCCCAGAGAAAGAGACAAACGGCCTTGTGGGTTACGTGGCCTTCGTGTCCTGCGTGTACTACGTGCAATCTCAAAGTAAGATTGGGATGCACCTAAAAGAAACTGGTTACTTGCATCCATGCATTTAAGAAAATATAATTTCACAAGCACAAGAATATAAAAATTATTATGTGATAATGAATATATTTGATTATTGATTTTTATAAAGGAAGTATATAACCATTCAAAATGACATATGATTATATATGTATTTGAAGAGGCAAGGGATTTTGACCAACCCTTCAACAGACACATTCACAGTGCAAATTTTATTCCAAATAATAAGCAACGATATTAATATTATGCTTTCTAAAATACCGTATTGTTCAGAATATAAGGAAGTGGATTTGGGGGACGTCTTTGGGCATGTTCACACTGGCAGTTTAGTTCGGAGCGGGGCACGGATTCGCATGAAGAATTGGTACCGAACCTGAGACTACCTGAAGGAGGTGGTCTGAGTTCGGTTGCCCTCAAACTGTGCCACGATTCGCGTGAATGTGAAAGCAACACGGACTCAGGTACACGCTTTTTCGAGAAGAAAAGTAACCTGATAATGCTTTTTAGCCGATGACGATGTATTTAGTTCAATAAAACACATGAGGGATTATAGTGTTGATTTATCTTTGATACAAGCGAGAGTGAGCCTGCAGTGTAATCTTTCATGGCGAGTGCAATCAGGGCGGCAAATAAATGGCAATCAACTGTCTCCTCAAAAGAGTCTGTTCGCAAGCAGTGAAACCCGCCCTCATGCGACACGCATACAGTAAACCCAAGTGTTGTTTACTCTGCTGCGCATAATAGCACCAAATGAAGAAAAAACGAAATAAATTAACCCGCGTTCTGTTTTCTATCGTGCGCCGTGCACGTTTGTGATGACTTAAGATGGAAACTTCGATTAGAGCGGCTCAATTCGGGAAAAATTGAGAATCATGATCACGATTCTGAGCAGACAACTAAATAAAAAAAAACAAAGTAAATTTACTAGAGTTTCTGACAAAATATTAGTTGCTGCAGTCTATTTAATTTAATTAAACGTTTAACTAATTTGAATGATTTTTTTTTTTTTTTTAAATGGTTTGAATTAATGATTCAATGACTCACTCCTAAATACTTAACTTGTTTCATTACTGGATGAATCAGCATTTTTGAACAAATCTCTCAAATGAATGATTCAATGACAAATACATTTAACAGTCACTTTCCGCCACTTAGTGGCGTAACAATGTAATCGATACAATTGTTAATTGAAGCGCCATGTTACTTTTAAAAGGGGATTTGCTCTATTTTGCTCTATTACACTACTGCAGACATCGGTGTGCTATCCCAGTACTTCTGTGATAATTGGAATTATCGTAAGACAAAAATAACGATATTGTGTAGTTGAGAAGACTGTTTGTGAAGCTGCTTCATAACTAAACATTATAACTGCTCTCTCTGGTTTAGCGGGAACGCGAACACAGATTTGAATGTTCCGGTGTCAAAGATTTAACAGACAGGCGAATCGTTGTCAAATTGAAGCCAATCCAACGCTGCGGGGGGCGCCAGGAACAATTGCACTCAGACTTAGACCGCAGCAAATGTGCCGAGTGTGAAAACACCTTTATATTCAAGGTCTACACTTTTACATGTCAATTATTCACCAAATACGTGTCAAACGAGTGTTTCCCCCAGGACTGATAACCGCAGCGGAGTCAAACTACACTCACACGGCATGTTTCTTGGCTGCTTAATGAGAGTTATGTTAGAAGATGGCGAGCCCAAAAATGCTAACAGTCAAAGAAAAGCTTACCGTGGTCCTAAAAGTGGAGCTTCGAAGAAACTGACAGGCAAGTGTATCAGTACGTAGACAAAAAAAAGAAATCAAGGGTAGCCCATAACTAGAGCTGTCATCCAGCTGAAGGCACTGGAAATCGCCAAAGAGCTGAACCCACCAGCGAGGCCCATCATTTCTTATTTCCAGCTACGTACTGACACACTTGCCTGTCATTTTCTTCTAAGTGGCCGCTTTGATGCAGCGTAATGGATTAGCATTACGCCGCAGAACATTTTACATTTACATTTATGCATTTGGCAGACGCCTTTATCCAAAGCGACTTACATTGCATTTCAAGGTACACATTTACATTCTTATCAGTTCTTGCTTTCCCTGGGAATCGAACCCATGACCTTGGCGTTGCAAGCGCCAACGCTCTATTGTTTGAGCTACAGGAACAAGTATTGCCCAGCTCTTGCCCTCCAACTTCAGGGAGAAACTGCTGTCACATTTTCCCAGCAGCCATTTCATTTACAATGAAGGGCCTTTTCCCACGAAGACAAAAAGTGCAGATCAGTCTATTCCCGTTCTCCAGCATGAGCATTAACTTCATGTGCTACATAAATAAACGCGCGCAGAACAGCTTCTTGGGGAATGAAGTCCCGGGAATCATCATTAATAAGAGCTCCATTAGAGCCAGAGTAGGTCAGTGGAGTAGGACAGAGCACAATTACTCCCTAGAAGGATACTTTATGACCTAATTTGTGGAGTTATCAAAAACCTGGGTGCCTCATGCTGCTTATATTGATATGTTAATTTGTCTCTTTTTATCTGAAATTTTTTTCTTTTCTTCATTTTGGATGCCAGCTCAGTTCTTGTAAGCAACAGTGTCTGGGTGAGTGAGTGTGGGTGGATGTCAGACTCCTCTATTAGGTGTCCTTCAGTTTAGAATGACTAGCTGTCCTCTTAGAGAGCCTCGTATCATTAATTTAATCAGTAGACAGACTGTAAAATGGGGGAGGTACTCTGAACGCTTATTGGTGTGGTTTTTGAAGGTATGGCTGCCAGCAGTCAAGGCCAAAGGACTGGAGATATCTGGAACCTTCTCTCGGCGTCAGGGACACATGTACATGGACATGAACTTCACCAATAAAGCCCTGCAGCACATGACTGACTTTGCCATCCAGTTCAACAAGAACAGGTCTGTGATTATGATAATCATTGTGGCATATTTTCCTGTTACCAGGCTCCAAAATTAAGGTTTTAGATTTATGACTAATTATTGATTTATAATAAATAATACCAGTATATTTTTTATTTAGTTATATTTTAATATTACATTTAATATATGCTATATTTTATATACTAAATTATTATATATAATTTGTATAGATTTTTTTAAAATAGATTTTTAAATGAATATTGTTAAATATATATTTTAACAACACATTTAATATACACTACCATCCAAAAGTTTGGATTTTTTTTTAGATTGAAATTAGTTGTTTTATTTGTTAGGAGCGCACACAAGTCAGAGTAAAGATAATGTTACAAAAAAATACATATTTCAAATAAATGCTTTTAAAGTTCCTATTCTTCAAAGAATCCTGAAAAACATGCATCATGTTTTCCACAACATTGTTAAGCAGCACAACCGTTTTCAACATTGATAATAATTAGAAATGTTTCTTAAACATCAAATCATCATATTAGAATGATTTCTGAAGGATCATGTGACACTGAAGACTGGAGTAATGATGCAAAACATTCAGCTTTGTCATCACAGGAATAAATTACACAAAAATGTATTAAAATAGATTAAAATATAGCTACAGTTATTTTAAATTTTAATATTTCACAACATTGCTTTTTTACCTTTTTAAAAAAAAAAATCTTTTTTATAACTTTATATTTAGAGTTTTTATAATTTTTTCGCCATTATAACAAAAGTAAAAATTATTTCCATTTCCTAACTAAACTTCTGATGGTAATTTTCTTTAGATAATCTAAAGATCTATTTAGGATTAAATAATCACTTTTACCTGGTTATTTATTTAAACCATGAATTGTTTTTTGATTCTTAAAGGGTTAGTTCACCCAAAAATGAAAATTCTGTCAGTAATTACTCACCCTCATGTTGTTCCAACCCCATGAGGTTCCAACTTTCGTTCATCTTCGGAACACAAATTAAGATATTTTTGATTAAATCTGAGAGCTGGATCACTCCTCCATAGGCTTCTTAAGGGATCGAAACTGGCCGGCCCAAAAGTTATTAAAGACATCGTTAAAATAGTCCGAGTGACTACAGTGGCTCAATCTTAAGTTTATCAAGCGACGAGAATACTTTTTTTAGTCACTTGGACTATTTTAACGATGTCTTTCTTAACTTTTGGGCCGGCCAGTTTCGATCCCTTAAAAAGCCTATGGAGGAGTGATCCAGCTCTCAGATTTCATCAAAAATATCTTAATTTGTGTTCCGAAGATGAACGAAAGTCTTACGGGGTTGGAACAACATGAGGGAGAGATTTTTGGGTGAACTAACCCTTTAAGTTACAGGTCACATAGCCAAAAACTCTTAACTTTTACTCTCATTTGCTAAGTGTTTAAGTAAAAGTACCATCACTTTCCCCCCAAAAAAGTAGTGTGAGGAGAGTAAAAATTGTGCAATGTCCAAAAAAACTACTTGAGTAAGAGTAAAAGAGTAGCTTATTTAAAAGTACTCTTGTATAGTGAGTAGTGAGCTGCCGATTCTACACTTATAATAAACACTGTACAGTGCAAATTAAAAATGTAGAAAAACTGGTACATACTGTAATTCTCTATCTTTTGTTTAACAGTTTTCATTTTGACTGCCAACTTTTTAAAATACATTAAAACAACACGAAAAGACTATTACACTAAAGTTTTCAGTACACTCACTATTTAAATAATAATCTATGGGAAAAAATTTAAATCAGTTGTAAGGCCTTAATAAACACAGAGCAAGCTATTGTATCACATGAAATATCAAAGTTCGGAACAGTGCCAAAGACTACAAAAACCTTTAGAAATTCATAAGAGTTCAGTCTCGCACACCAGAGATGGCTTAAAAAGAGAGAGATTAAAAAGAGCCAATTCTCTCCAGAACGGTGCCAGTTTTAGGGTTTGAGATAAAGAAATGAGAATCACTAATGATATCAAACAGTGAATCTCACCTAATGCACTGAAATAGGCTAAGATAGTGAGCTAACACGAACTACATTGTAATCCCAGTCCACTGAATGTTACAAATTTAAACGTAAATTCACATTGTTCGAAAAGTGAGTGACATGTGAAGGCCAAATATGGTAACTCATTCTTGGAATTTGTCCTATGCATTTAACCCATCAAAGTTAGTGCACACACACATTAGGAGCAGTGAGTAGTGAACACACACACACTGCACTGCAAACCATGGAAACACATGCTCGATTACTCTCTCCCTATCCAATCGAGTTGATGGGAAAAAAAAATATATTAGTAACAAACGGAGGTAAAAGTACAGATACATCACTTAAAATGTACTTAAGTAAGAGTACACAATTGTGAACTACTTAAAAAAGTCAAATTTCTTTTAAAAACTACTTATTACAGTAATATGAGTATTTGTAAATCTTTACTTCACCCCCCTGCCTGTAACTGATACATTTAGTAGAGCTATGAGACACTATAATCACGGTATCTTTGTTTGTTGTCTTGTTTTTAGTTTTGGAGTGATCCCCACCACACCTCTCCCCGTTCACACTCCGCTGATGCCCAGCCAAAGCATCGACATCTCCCTCCCTCTCAACACCATCGGACCTGTGATGAAGATGGACCCACTAAACAACCTACAGGTACGTTGCATTACTGCCCTTTGCCACATACTTTTACACCCCCATAAACACCCACACACGCCAATGGGCCCTTCTGAGGTCCCTTTCTTTGCATTAATCATCCCACAGGAAATAAACCATTACAAATATGCCGATAATGTTAAAATTACATCACTGTGTATCCAAACCTCCAAGCTTTCGACTGCACAGCGGGCACATTTGTCTCTGATTATTTGAGTCAGTTGTCCCCACGTGCTTCATTAGTTACTGAGATCATTTGGGTGAACAGCAGCTGCAAAACATTCAATTTTATGCCTTTAAACCACTCTAGATAATGAGCACTTGCCCACAGCATCTAGTCTACTAATGCTGATAATCAATCAGATACAAATGTCGTTATGAATCATCGTCATTTCATATGATTTATATCGACATGTTTCTGCCTCATTAGTTATACCACAGAGCGTTGGTTTATCTTTGGATGGATGTCTAGCTGATATGCTCTTACTGTGTTCCTTCCTTAAAGGATTAGTTCACTTTTAAAAAAACTTTTGCTGATAATTTACTCAGCCCCATGTCATCCAAGATGACCATGTCTTTCTTTCTTCAGTCGAAAAGAAATTAATGTTTTTGATGAAAACATTCCAGGATTTTTCTCCATATAATGGATTTCAATGGGAACCAAACGGTTCAAGGTCCAAATGACAGTTTCAGTGCAGCTTCAAAGGGCTTTAAACGATACCAGACGATGAATAAGGGTCTTATCTAGCGAAACCATCGGTCAATTCAAAAATCAATAAAAAACTTTAAGTTTTATAAGCACAAATGCTTGCCTTGCTCTGTTCTGTGATGCACGTTCGTGACTCTCCTGTTCGAACTCGTTCATCAAAATGAACGAATCTTTTTTCGAGTCATTTTCATTCATTCAACAAACGAAAGGAACTAAATGACTCGAAAAAAGATTCGTTCATTTTGATGAACGAGTTCGAACAGGAGAGTCACGAACGTGCATCACAGAACAGAGCAAGGCAAGCATTTGTGCTTATAAAACTTAAAGTTTTTTATTGATTTTTGAATTGACCGATGGTTTCGAGATAGGTCCGACTGCAGAACCGCAGAACCATACGTCATAGCAGTGTGAGGATGACAGCGCCAGCCTAACCGTCTGATGCCGGAAGTGGGCGTGGCCAGGCATTGCGCTACTTCTGTGTTTTAGAACGTTTCAAAGTTTAAAACAATGCTATTATAAATATTTGTTTAAACGATTTAATTAAAGATATGTTTAAGATGTGTATATATATATATATATATATACTGTATATATATAGTTGTGTGTATATATACAGGTGAAACGCGAAAAATTTGAATATTGTGCAAAACGTCATGTAATTCAAATTAAAAGGTGAAACTAATATATTTAGTCTATATAACTATATACATATGCATGATTATACTTTTCAGAGGGCCGACATTTCTGTATTTAAAATCCTTTTTTGTATTGATTTAATGTAATATTCTAATTTTCTGAGATTTTAAATTTGGGGTTTTCATAATCTGTAAAGCCATAATCATCAAAATGATAACTTTTGCACGATATTCGAATTTTTCGAGTTTCACCTGTATGTATGTATATATATATATATATCAAATATTATAAAATATAATAATTATTTGTCCTATTAACAAAAGACAATATAAAAATGCTTTTCAATTCAATCAAATGTTCAAGCTTTGTTTTAATTTTATTATTAATTTTGTTTAAAGCTTTATTCAATTTATATTGTTCATTTGACACAACAAATGGATAAAGTATAATTTTAACTTTTAAAAAACTATTTTGTTAATACTCAACCATTTCACAACTAACAATTTTTTTTTCATAGACCAAACAACATAATTCTATGGTGGATTGAAACAAAAATTATTAATTAAATACAATTATTTTTTTCCTCTGAAATGGCAAAAGCATCACACACAGATGTACCTGCTCTAAATAAATAATAGTAATTAAATAAAATTAAAAAATCGAACTAAATAAAATAAATTATTAAAAACAAAATCAAACCAAAGAAAATAAAAGCGAGTGTCATGACGAAAGGCGCCTCAGGAATCATCATGGTTAACTCCATGTGTATGGAGTTTTGATCTATTTAGTTTATTTGTCACTTGAGAAGTATTGTTAAATGTGTGCCTGCATAACTTTAATAAGATTTATTTTCTTTGGTTTGATTTTGTTTTATATAATTTATTTATTTTATTTATTTTGATTTTATATTTTGATTTAATTACTATTATTTATTTGGAGCAGGTACAGCTAGTGTGTGATGCTTTTGCTATTTCAGAGAGGGAAAAAACACATTTTATTAGTTCAAATGCTCAAGCTTTGTTTTCGTTTTATAATTTTGTTTGTTTTAAGCTTTGTTCAATTTATATTGTTAATCATTTGACACAAAACGGATGCATAAAGTATCATTTTAACTTAAAAAACACTATTAACATTTGTTAATAGGCTACATTGCCTGTCTTTTGTTAATAGGACAAAACATAGTTATTATACTTTATAATTTTATAAATATTATATTTTATAATATTTGATATATATATATATATATATATATACACTACCGTTCAAAAGTTTGGGGTCGGTACGATTTTAAATACTTTTAAAAGAATTCTCTTCTGCTAACCATGGCTGCACTTATTTGATTAAAAATACAACAAAAATCAGTTACAGTATTAAATATTATTCCAGTGTAAATCAGCTGTTTTCTGTGTGAATATATAGTAAAGTGTAATTTATTCCTGTGATCAAAGCAGAATTTTCAGCATCACCAGTGTCAGTGTCTTCATTGTCAAATGATCCTTCACAAATCAGTATAATATGAGGATTTGATGCTCAAGAAACATTTATTATTATTATCAATGTTGAAATAGTTGTTGGTCTGTCAGTTGTACAGTTTTTTTTTTTTTTTTTTTGATTCTTTGATGAATAGGAAGTTCAAAAGAACAGCATTTGTTTGAAATATAATCTTTGTAACATTATAAATGTCTTTACTGGCCTTGATAAATAAAAGTAGGCCTATTGATTTCTTTCCTCCAAAAAATAAAAATAAAATTCTAAATGACCCCAAACTTTTGAACGGTAGTGTATATATAGGCCTATCTCTTAAAGGGTCACTCCACCCATTTGCATTAAGAGGTCCATTGTTAGACAACCAGTCATACTATTGAATGGTCGTGCAACATTCTTTCATTTTCCCCTGAGACGAGAGAAATCTACTATTTACCTTTTTCACTTCCTCCTACAATGACGCAAAAATCGTCATTTGACGTCATTGTAGGAGGAAGTGTAAAAAGGGGGGATTTCTGTATAGACTACAAGCACAAATTCCCACCCTTTCAAACCCGCCCATAGGGGGTTGTGCCTAATGCGCTAACAGAGCTATCACAGATCAGTGGGTGGGACTTCACGTGCAGATACTGAAAGCAATATCAGCCATCTTGTTTATAAGCTAAGCTAACAAGCGCTGTGGAGATAGGAAGTTACGACAATGACGGAAGAAACTAAACATGATATGGAATGGAAGTAGAGGATTTTGAAATTCTGCTGCTCGAATCCGCTCTTCGTGGCTATCTTTACGAGCCGCAATATAGTGAAGAGCAGCTGAGGCTGATGGAGGATCAGGAGGCGGCTGCCTGTCGCGAACGAGGAGCCCGGACTGGGTCGAGCTGAGGCGGGCTGCTGGTGCGTGTGCTCTCGCTGTGCGCTACGGACACAGATAGAGTCCGTCTGCTGCAAAGAATTTCAACGATCGCAATTTCTCCTAGACGAAATCTCTGAATCAGACGACCACACGGACGTTTGTGTTGTGATGTGAACCATCCTAGTTTCGCCTGACTGAAAATCCAGGTATCATGCAATAATTCACCATATAGAAAGAAATACAAACGAGTAATTCACTAATGAGTTTGCCAATGTAACGGGGTTCGTTGTTGTGGGAAGAAGGAGGCTGGAACCGGCGAACATTTAAACATTTTAATAGTAAAATAAACAAATACAAAACAAAAGTATAAGCCAGCTGGCCACACACAACAGAAACAAAACATAAAATCAGGCCTGTTCCTTTTATGCTTCCGCTCCTCCGTGAGAGATATGAGACCGCTGCACAGGTGCCATTCATTATCACTCGCGTCGTCCTCTCACGTCCCTCGCCCTCGTCCTGCTCGCCACAGCCAACTAACTAGACATTTTTTGTGAAATGAATTTCAAACTCATTTAGCAGCTAGCCTTCTTGTAGACGGAAGAGTGATTTCTCTGATGTTTGCGCTGTTCTGGATTAGTGGGAGTGGCTTGCGGAGCTGTGCAACGTGGTGCATTGTGGGAGTTGTTGTCTTACATACAAATGCGCCCTAAAGTTATTTTCTGTCTTTTCTCGGTCAAGAGGGAACCAAATTAAAAATTTCTTTTACATTTCGACTACATATATAACCCACTTTCAATAAAGATTAATGTTGAAATGGGTGGAGTGACCCTTTAAATATACATATTTAATAAAATCGTTAAAAAATATATTCATAATAGCATTGTTTTAAACTTTGAAACGTTCTAAATCACAGAAGTAGCGCAATGCCTGGCCACGCCCACTTCCGGCATCAGACGGTTAGGCTGGCGCTGTCATCCTCACACTGCTATGACGTATGGTTCTGCGGTTCTGCAGTCGGTTACTATTGATGGTTTCGCTAGATAAGACCCTTATTCATCGTCTGGTATCGTTTAAAGCCCTTTGAAGCTGCACTGAAACTGTCATTTGGACCTTGAACCGTTTGGTTCCCATTGAAATCCATTATATGGAGAAAAATCCTGGAATGTTTTCATCAAAAACATTAATTTCTTTTCGACTGAAGAAAGAAAGACATGGACATCTTGGATGACATGGGGGTGAGTAAATTATCAGCAAAAGTTTTTTTAAAAGTGAACTAATCCTTTAACATTTACACCATATGTCACACCTCCATCTCCTTGACACTCGTCCACCTCTCTATTTCTCTCATCCTCTCATATCTTTGGTTCATCGGATCTTCTGTTTAAGGATCCCTTTCTGTGACTTTTCTCCTTGTTGCTTGTGTCAAGCATCTGGCTCTTTGGTATTAAACAGAGCTGCCTGCAGAGTGTTTATGGCTTGTGTTAATGAGTTCAACCTTCTAATGAGCAGAAGAGTAACGGAATGCCCTTTGAGTGGCCGGGTGACGCTATGACCTGACCATGTCCATGTTAATTAAACAGGTGTTTTTTTTATATCATTCTGTCATTTACTCACCCAAACCTATGCGAGTTTCTTTCTTCTGTGGAACACAAAAAGAGAAATTTTGAAGAGAATGCCAGCCACCCTTTTCCATAAAATTTAAAGAGTGTTTTCAACTTTCTTTAGTGTTTAATGTTGCTGTTTACGCATCAAAAAAGGTCTATAAAGTTTCAAAGCACAAATTCAATTTTAGAGTAATTCTCTAAATCAGTAAGCAAAAACCATAAAGAACATGTAACAATATTCCTCATTTAAATAATTCCCACCCATACAAAAAAAAAGGGTAGTGTGTTGAAACTCGCACGTGACATTTCCAAAATACACTCGACATGGTTGACCAATCACAACAAAAATGTGAAAAATAACATGTTTGTTGAACATTCAAGCATGAAAATCTATTCTAGTAGACCCTAAAAACAAAATCAAAACTTTGAAAAAAAAGGCATTATAGGTCCACTTTAAAGCTGGGAGTGGCATGAAATGAAAATTCATTTATTTTGTAAATGCATGTTATAGATCTTATTGTGTACAATTCATCCATGTATATGTTTCTATTTTTGACTATTAAATATTATGTATGCATGAACAATTTATAAGTACTATATTGGTTATTGGCCGATATTAGAGATATTTTTTACATTGATGCTTAAAATTGCGATATTTAACCGTGCATGCTAATTTCCTCTATTTCTTTTTTTTTTGTTAAGATTACATTTGCCATCATCTAACACTTACTTAAAGTTACTCTTTAAAAATGCTAGTAATTTAATAACACTGTTAAATGTAATCTTTTTTAACACCGTACATTATAAGGCTACGATGCCTAAATTTACCTGTAGCATTTAAAGTGATTAATTTTAGTTTTTAGGTATTTATTTTTAATGTATTTGGACAAAATCTAGCATTTTAATATTAGCTATTTGTCAGTTGTTGGCCAAAACATGAAAAATAACACATTTTCCTCTAAATTAATTAATACAAAAAAAAGTCTGCTCATTCTGCTTTTATTAATAAACAAGAATACAAATAAACTTTCTTGCCATCAATAGACACACTGGATGTCTAAAAATAGAAAGGCTCAATTGTGCCATAATTTATTCATTGGATTTCCATGGCTCGGTTTAGAGTCTAATAACATTTGTGTAAAATATGAAAGAACTCATCAACGGGGTCTAACCATTGACTTCTACTAGCCTTCTCTTCTGCTCTTGTGCCTTTCTTGTTCCCCTTCTCCTATTCTTTCATTTTCCATGCAGCTGAAAGCTTTTTCCATTTGGAAAATAAGTGTGGTATCAAAAATGCAGTCAGGCTGCAGAGGCGTTTTAGTCCCCTTATACGGGGGAGTGTATTTAAAAGTCTGACCACTCAACCTTCCTCACTGCAGGTGGCCGTGAAAAACAATATTGATGTCTTCTACTTCAGCACGCTGATCCCTCTCAACGTGTTCTTCGTGGAGGACGGCAAAATGGGTACAAGCACTCTGCGCACACATGTTCACTCTAAAAACAGCACACCGTGAGGTTTTAATTGAGCTTAGGCTTAATAAAAGAGTGGATTGATGAGATGTAGCTAGGATTGAACATACAATAGACACTGATTGGCCAATCCCATATGATAACGTGTAAACTTTTCCTCAACAGAGCGTCAGGTGTTCTTGGCCACATGGAAGGACATTCCAAACGAGAATGAGCTGCAGTACCAGATCAAAGAGTGCCACTTAAATGCAGGTGAGGTGATCTAGTCCTCAACATGCACTACTCGCGACTCGAGTTTGTGTGTAGGTGTTTTGCAACGTATGGATCAGTGGTCACTGAATCTAAGGCATTTAGCAGAGAGGAAAGTTTGCAAATAGCAGGGCAGCTGCAAAGGTTTGGCAGAGCGCTCTTACCTCTTTGTATTTTGGCCTCTGCCTAAACCCAAGCTGGCTCCTGATGCAGCATGTTACAACCTCCTACAATGTGTCTGTGGTTGAGAGACCTTTTTTTTTTTCACACCACAAATACTCAAACCAATTTAACACAAAACCAATACTCAAACCAGTCTGTCTGAAATATATATATCAAATATACAAATGAACAATGTGTGAATTGATTGCTAAAAATCTTATTTGTTTAATATTTAAATAACTTACAACTTTGTTACAACAAAGTCAACTTCTTCATGTTTACTGGGGTATACATTTTGATTTAAAAATATAATTATTCTGTTCTAAATTATACAGTGCATCATGAGCTATCAAATTAAATTATGATTAGATTTTGTGTATATATACTATAAATACCCTTTAAAAAACTATTATTCATCCTTTTATTCGCGTTTTGAGCGTATCAATCGAGTGAACCAATGATTCAATGGTTCATTCATAAAGAGAGCCGTTTGAACAAATCGAGTGAATGAATACCTCAATGACTTACTCATTGATTTTGTGTGTGTGTGTGTGGTTCTGGTAAACCCTTCGTAATGGGGACAAAATGGGGCCCCCACAAAGATGGCAATATCCAAAATCCTTGTCCTTGTGAGGTCATTTTTCGGTCCCCCTTGAGGAAAACAGCTTATAAATCATACTAAGTGATGTTTTTCAAAAATGTAAAACTGCATAACATTTTCTGTGATTGGTAGGTTTAGGTTTAGGTGTAGGGTTAGTGTTAGGGGAATCGAATATACAGTTTGTACAGTATAAAAATCATTATATCTATGGAAAGCCCCCCCCACACACAAAAAAAAAACTAAAAATGAAAATACAGTTACAATGTGTTTGTCTGTATATATGGTTTATGAGGACACAAATATGTATAATGACATGGGTAAACAACGTGGACACTTCCTGTGTCCTCGTAATCCAAATGGTTTAAAAAACATACTAAACTGTGTTTTTTTTGTTTTGTTTTTAATTTGAAAAATGCAGAAAGTTTTCTGTGATGGGTAGGGTTAGGGTATAGAATATACAGTTTTTACAGTATAAAAACCATTACACCTATGGAGAGTCCCAGCAAACCACATATTCAAGTGTGTGTGTGTGGGAGAGAGAGATAAATGGTCAAGAATTGTATTCTGATTTGAATAAGACATGACAGTGTAATACATACTAATCTTACCGTGTTTTTTTATACCCCTAGTATTAAATCTTGTTGCACAAGGCTCACCATAGTCCCCAAATATTTTTGAATAGCTTCCTTTGTCGATTTATGAATGCAACTTCACAATGCTTTGATATTAAACTATCAATTTTGTTGAATTGTTTGCTTAAAGATTTACTACAACATCCACGGTGTACTGTGTGAGCTTTCAGATTTAAAAAAAGTAGAAAGAGTCTCTTGATGCCAATGGAAGGGGGGAAAGCGTTCCCACCATTTCGTTATTGTTCATAGTTAATTATTTAGTCTGGTGGCAGTGTAAAAAATGCTGTGGAACGTGGCTGGCTGTGTGCACAGACTCTGACAGAGCTGGTTTATTTCTAGGCTTATCAGCTTGCTATTTGTATTCATCAACCTGGAGCCAATTTGAGCATACAGCAGCAGCCGAACACGGGGACCAGCGTGGAGAGCCTGTTTCACTCGCTGAAATTATTGATCAGACGCCCAGAGGTTCCTTAATTACTAGACGTCAGACAATCTCACTTCCCCTGCTTTCATCTGCTCTCATATTAGCAAGCACACACACGGCACACAGATGCACACAGATGCAATTTTATCCATGACTATAAAGCCTGTAGGGTGATCGACGCATGTAGTGCCACACTAAAACAGCAGTAGTTTGACAAATCCAGGCTTTGATTTTTTTTTTTTTCACTCTGATGCCTTGTTTTGGTTGGAGAACCCATGCAGTTCAGTTTCAATCGTGTTTATTAGCATGTAGAGAATAATTGACTGCTGTGAGATGCTGATTGACTCTAGCTTACCATGACTTGAATAACAATGTCCACGTAATGGAGCACACAAGCGAGGGCAAGATATTACCGAATGCCTTTTCCCCACACCGTGTGCATTGGTATTATTTGTAAATGACAGATTTTTTTCCCCATAGAATTGAATAAGTAGGAAGCTGTTTCATGTTTTGTTGTTGAGTTGATTTGTTCTTTATCAGAATGCAGCCACAGTTCTTGAGTCCAGGAGGATGACGTCATGCGTTCATGTCCGTGGATCAACAGATTCCTAATGATGAATAATTTCAGCACTTAATTCAGCAGAAAATAAACATCTCTAATTAGTTTTCAGCGTTAATGTTTTACAACCGTTTACAAACCTCATTGATATGCTGCAGAATTGCTGCCAGTACATTTACAGAGAATCAAGAATAATCAAAATACTTCATACCACAGGTTCTCATCTCTGGTGTGGACAGGACATGGGTTACTTCTAGCTGTATATAACTAGGGATGCGTTTATTTAGAACTTTTTAGTGTGTGTGTGTGTGTGTGTGTGAGAAAATTAGTTATGTTAGTAGCGTAATCCGTTACACTACACATTTTTGGTAATATATTCGGACTACTTTTTCATTACTTTTAGATTACTTCTGATCTAGTCTCGCGTAGCCAGACCTTCAGACTGACGGCAGAAGGTCTAGAGACTCCATAGCAGCTTTCATTGACCAAGCACCGCCCAAGAGGCTGTCTGACTGATATATAAAGCAACTAATCACAGTTTGTTTTGTTCCGCGTCATGTTTAGGGGCGAGAAAACGTAACATCGATGTCCCTACAATAACAGACTGTTGTGTAAAACTATGCTGCGAGCTTTACATACTTCAAATACTTACATACTTCAAATACTTTTAAAAACCCAGCGTTTAGTTAGTTGATACTGAGAACCGCTCATTGATACAGCGTTCTTCTTCCTTGAGGGGGTTTGGGGTCACGGCATCTTTGTTTCCAGGCGGACAAATGTACGCTACAAACTCGTCTCCCGGGCACCCTGTAGAATTCAACTAATCAGGTGACGACTTTGAAAATCCTGAAGTGTTTCCAGTTAAGTGTGCCATGTGCATCAGACATTCAGTCAGGGTCTGACTTCTGAGGCTAAGACTACTTTTGACCTAACTCCTGCATTACCAATTACTAGTGCATTTAAATGTCTTTGCTCTTTTCGGCTCGTTAATGACCACTCTTGCTGCGGCATTCTGGATCAGTTGCAGAGGTTTGACAGTGCAAGCTGGAAGGCCTGCCAAGAGAGCATTACAATAGTCCAGTTTGGATAGAACAAGGGCTTGAACAAGGAGTTGTGTAGCATACTGCGATAGGAAGGGCATGATCCTCCTAATGTTGTATAAGGCAAATCTGCAGGACCGGGCAGTTCTAGCAATGTGGTCTGCGAACTTTAACTGATCATCAATCACAACTCCAAGGTTCCTGGCTGTCCTGGATAGAGCTATGGTTGACGGACCTAGCTGAATGGAGACGTTGTGATGAAGTGCTGGGTTGGCCGAGACCACAAGCAGCTCTGTCTTTGTAAGTTTGAGTTGAAGGTGGTGGTCCTTCATCCAGCAGGAAATGTCTGTCAGGCAGGCTGAGATGAGAGCAGCTAGCGTCGGATCATCTGGCTGGAATGAGAGGTAGAGTTGTGTGTCGTCTGCATAACAGTGATAGGAAAAAACATGTTTCTGAATGACAGATCTTAGTGATGACATGTAGATGGAGAAGAGAAGTGGACCAAGCACCGAGCCTTGAGAGCACCCCAGTTGCTAGACGTTGCGACGTAGACATCTCACCCCTCCATGAAACCCACTAGTACACTTAAGCAACCGCATGGCAGGCACCCACAACAACACCCTAGCATTGTGGCAGCATGATTTGCATTTCCTTGAGCAAATCTGTATTATTTTACTACGTGGTGTTGAATGCTTGATTCTGATTGGTTGACGAATGTTCTAAGCTCTGCCATAATTTTCAGGAAAACGCACGGCTAAAGTAGTTCCAGGCGGGTCTTGACAGCATTAAAGCACCATATCACTTTGCCAAATGATTTCACTTATTTCAAAGGTCGTTTAAAAAAACACACAACGACACTAACCGAGAAAATAAATATAGTAAACAATGGGATAAAAACGGCCAATTATTTCCAGGTTGTTTTTTTGCCACAAAATTACACTGCATTGTATTAATGCATTTATTAGTTATTATGGAAAAACACATCTCTTTCTCTCTCGCACTCTCTCTCCCACTCAAACAAACACACATACAGTACAGACACACACTCGCACAGAAACGTGTTGTCAGCTCTGCTCTGACGATTTTATCAGTAAAATAGTTTAACAACTTAAAAGCTACGCGGTTCTCACTAGCGAGGTGCAGATAAACGTAGTTTCTCTAGACGCTGGTGCCGAACACTGTCGAGAGAGGCACAGACTGAGGTAATTCACACACGCTTAAGCTCTCTCTCTCTCTCTCTCTCTTGCTCTCTCTCTCTAATAACTGCATTAATAACTACACACTGCTATCAGTGACTCAAGTCTCCGTTATTAGCTCTAAAAGTACATTTTGGAATTAGCAACGGAGGCTTGGGATTAGATGCGTAAGAAATTAGTCCTACACACAAGACCGTTTTAAGGACAAAAACCTGACAAACGTCTTGAAATACATCATCTGAACAATGTTTTAAGGCGTGGTAACCGTAGTATAAGCGTCGTGGCTGCATTATTTTTCTAATAATTCAGCAGCCCGTCGTCAATTATTCCTTACACATTACGCTGTGTCCCTCCTCACCCTGTCTCGAGCAGCTCCCTCTGTGTGTCCGCTGTGTATTGTGAAGGCAGACTCACAGGATTGACAGCAGTAGTGTGTGCAGTCAGTCAGTCAGTGTGAACTGGAGTGAGTCACAGCACACTCCACATGTTGGTAACACCAGCTGTCATCACCTGATTCTGTGGCTTATATAACCGCTGACTGACTGACTCTCTCCTCAGACCTCCCTCTGTCTGTGTATAAATGTTTTTAATCTTCCTTGCCCATCACCCTTCTGGATTTTATTTTCCCCAATCCATCTTTCTCCCTCTTAAAACACTTGATTGGGTTTGATTGTTGCCCTTTACTTTGCTCTTACATTGTTTGCGGCCCGTCCTTGTCTTTCAGCGCTATCTATCTCTGTTGCCAGGGGTTTCATCATTTCCTCTCTCTCGTTCCACGCTCTCCAATGCTCTCACAGTGCAGTGATATGGCTCAGTAGTGTCTGATTCCAGAACAGCATCACTAGTAAAGCTGCTGAGGGTACCCTGGCACACCTTTTTTGGTTCTGTTCACAAATTCAGAGTTTTTGGATAGAAATTTTTCATTTTTTTGCCAAAGTCTACAATTGTGCTTTACTTCCTGACCCACTTATAGCAATTCTTGGTTGGTCAGACTCATTGCAGGCTCTCAGGCCAAAGGTACGGTTACCAGTTCAATATGGTGTGACTGTAGCTAAAAAAGTTATCTTGCTTTTGTGGAAAAAAAATACTAGACCCCTCTTTTCTGACTGGCTAACTGGACTCACTTCTACGTTACACCTTGAAAGAATTAGATACTCAATATCCGGGAACCCTGCAAAATTCGATAAGATGTGGGAACCAGTTTTTACTTTTTTGTCAAATCAGAAGGACTAATTATTTATTTATGTTTTCCTGATCTGTAATAATCACTTTATGTAACTATTGTGATTACACTTTGTAACTGAGGTTGGCTTTGTGTATGTCTTCCTTTTTTATAGTACTTTTGTTTCATTTTACACATTGCACAGATTTCTGTTTTATGAAGGGTCTTTTTGTCTGTTTTTGTTTTTTTGTTTTTGATGTTTGAAAACCTCAATAAAAATAATATACACAGAACAGCATCACTCAGGGTCATCGTATGATGTGTAAATGAATCTGCTGTTAAGACATTAATCTGCATGCAGTAGATTAGTTTCTAATGTTAGGAAGAGGTTTTTGTTAACATGTTTACTAAATTAATGTTTTGGGGGTTAGTCTCTGTTATCTTACAGTATTTGTTTCTTTTATTTATTTGTTGGTGTGCTCAAAATACTTTTGTCTATTTGAAATTAATTATTGTAATTTTTTTATTTGATCATAAAAGGTTTTGTCCAGTAAAATATCTTACAGAATGAGAAGGTCCCTTCTTGCTCGTATTATCACCGTGTAGTTGATCATGGTAAAATGGTATGATGAAGTGAAAAATAGTAAAGAAAAACTAACACGAAGAGTTGAAGCTTTATACCTATTGTATATCTTACTTAGATGATCTAATAGGTCAAAATTTTCACCACTTTTAATCACCAATTGTTCTGTATGTGGACTATGAAGTATTCCGTAATATTTCATAATATTTAAGTGGAAAATCTCTGAATTTCTGTAACACTGCAGGACTGAATAAATACATTTTGAAGTAGTTCCATATAAGCATTAAAAATTAAAATTGCCGCACTACAAATGAAAAATAATCGTAGGTAAACTGTATTTGAATTTTTTAGGGTAATACTTTAATTGTCAAGTAGGTAGCACCCAATTAGTTTGTGTGTGTGTGTGTGTGTGTGTGTGTGTCTAATTGGTCAAATTTATCTTAATTTTATTTCAAGTTTTCAAAATTTAATTTGAATAGATAATTTTATGATTGTAGACAAAGCCTTTTTTTCCAGCCAAATGGTGAAAGAAACAAAAGATGTATGGCCTTTTTCTTTGAGCACAGTACAATTCGCCTTTGGCTAAGCCCCGCCCCCCTTAGTTACTGTTGCTACGTCCGACAAACAAACTTCATCTTGGCTCTGGTATCAACATGGCTTATGCTGTGACAGCTCTTCCTGCTGAAATTTTATCAAACTTTTATAAAGCAGCAAATAAAGTGTCCGATAGAAGTAGGCAAAGGGGCTGCAATATACGTTCGAAGGCTATATTCACGACATACAGGTGAAACGCAAGGAACAACAAGGCATCCAAATAGAGGCAAAAGCATACCGGTCACAGTCAAAAAATGACCCACCGCATATCCTACTAATCGAGACGGAGGCTGGGACTAACAATATCAAGGAGCAACACTGTTCATGCAAAGCTGGTATTCACTTCTATAATCGTTATTACAAAGCAAACGGACTATGCGAGTATAACCTTGTATTTATTAGCAGCGTGTGCTAGACGACACTTGTCAGGATTTGACTTCGGTTTTGGGAAGGGAAAAAAACGGACACCCCCCTCCAACCTCTCTGGGAAACGCTACAAGTGCCCCAGGCATAACGTTTAACCATATTTTAGATAAAACGATGACGGTAATAGCCTGCCGAGACCAAAAATATGAGACGCCTGTGTTAAAGTCAATGGAGCGCTGTGAAAAAGTGTCGGACCTCTGTGGGAGCTCGTTCTTGGCTGCGCTGTGATTGGTCAATCTACATTCTAGGGTGTGGCTTAGCCAAAGGCGAATTACATGTCAACTTCCCAAACACCACCTGTGTCCAATTACGACATAGCAAGTAGCAAATTTCAGTTAATTATGTGCCTTTGGTTGTGCTAATGCTCATACTTGATTACTTTCCCAACCACAAGCTGGTTGTGAAGAAACTGGCTGAAATGTATCAATTTTTAAAGAGTCTCTATTGATTTCATCCATGCTACAAACAGGTTATTTAAAAAATATATGTATTGCTATGTACTCTTCCTGTTTCAATAGGGAATACTTTTACTTACTTTTAGGGAATATTTAATACAAGTGTCCATCATACCTTTTAATGGGGTTTTTAAATTGGATGGATGGTAGCTTTTTCTGCTGATAACTGTAGTCTGTTGAGAGACTTCTGTGAATGTTTTGTTGGGTAACCATGTGTCTTTGGTATTGGCAGATACGGTGTCAGGCAAACTGCAGAACAACAATATCTACACGATTGCCAAGAGGAACGTAGAAGGCCAGGACATGCTGTATCAGTCGCTCAAACTCACCAACGGGATCTGGATACTCGCCGAACTCCGCATACAACCTGGCAATCCCAATTACACGGTAATCACTCACAGCACGAAGATTCAACAATTGGGTATTCAAACAAAGTCCAACTCGGCGAATGCTTGCCAATTTAACACAAAGGAGCAAAATAAATCTTGTCCCTTGACAAACAAAATGCTTTTGATATTGTCCAGAACATATTCAAGGACATCCTTCATCCCTCACTTTGACAGAATACTATTTTTTACTTAAAACTTATTTTTATATACACTTATTTGTCCACCAATCCACTCCAAGGTTTCAGCACATAATTATGTAATTCACTGCTTTGAAGATCAGGCTTTTAAAACATGATACATTCATGACCCTGAAAGCCGTGCTTTCTGCTTGACTTGCTTGCCTAATGCATTAAATGAACAGGAAGGTCAAAAGCTGCATGAAGCATTCAGACAAGGCTTGTTGTCGACAGGTAGAGTATTGATCCCCGTTTTGGCTCACGGATCTCCAGTGCCCTGGGGAACATTCCTGAATTATCTTCACAAACAGCAACATGCATGACTTTGGATATGTGCTGTGACATAAGCAGAATCTCAATAAGTGGCCACCCTCTCCTCTGTGATTTTGTATGAAGTCAACAAGTTTAGTAAACTATATTCTACTTTTTCTTTCTTTGAAAGTGTGCCTCTGAGAGAACATACACTCTATAAGTGAATCAGATGTTTATTCACTAACAGCTTTGACAGAAACAGCAAGCAATTTGTTAATCTGATTCAAAGACCTTTGATTGATTTGGCCTAATTCATTAAAAGAACCAGCTCTTAAGAGTCATTCACTTGTGAATCAGACTACGCTAGTTGAGCGCAGCCTATAAGAACAACCCATTTGAAATTATTTATAGTCTTTTTAAGACAAAAACACCTGGATACCACAGAATAATACATTCAACTTTGGTGACTTCAGACACTTAGCTTGGATAAAATGTCATTTCTTTTGATGTGATGCTGCAAAAGATTCAGTAGCAGAATGCAATAACTGCTTACAGATAATTACATTTTATATAGTTTTATAGTATATATAGTTGTAGTATAATAATAGTTTTCATCATATAAGATGTTATCACATGAGAACTCTAACTGGAAAGTGAAGTGAGATATACATTTGAATTATTTCCCCGCCAGCATTTTATTGTATGCCAGCGGCATCATTTTTGTTGAAGACTAAGAGAAACTCGTCAATGGTGGGGAACGAGTTAAAAGTTTTGTACACTTTTTTTAAAAACATCATAAAAGCTAGGGTAGGTAATTTTGGAGAGGGAAATCTAGCTTTGAAAGCATTAGAACACCCTCCCTTCAGAGCGTCTCCAAAGCCACGTCTCCTCCAAAAGACATGAACATGCACAGCCAGAGCAGAGTCTGCAAAGTGTCATGGTGTTAAAGTACCTCATGTCTCAAAGCACATAACATTACAATATTAATGAATGTAAACTTACAGCGCTCTGTGATGCGCCGAGGTTGGAAAATACATATGTTGACAGGCAGGCAGACATTCGGGCCAAATGCAATGATTGGACATTTTTTGGTCCTGGGACTTCCACAGAACATACATGTAAAAAATTATATATATTTAGACAACTTCTATTATTGCTTGCAGTCAGGATGTGAACTGAGTTTCAACCAGTATAACAAAAAGAGTTTATGAAAAACATTGCCTACCCTACTCTTAACCTTTTTGTAGTTTCAGCCTTTTTTTCTTTCGTGAAACACAAAAGAAGATATTTAACAGAATTTCCAAGCTGCGCTTTTCTCATATAATGAATATGAATGATGACAGCAGCTGTCCCTGCTCTCCATCCACTTTCATTGTGTGGAAAAAAAGGCAGCTTGAGCATTCTGCTAGAATCTTAAAGAACCCATGACATGAGGTTATTTTATTATTTTATAATGTTTCCTGGGATGCCCTTATTATGTTAGAATGTTTTTTTAGATCAAAAATAGTCATAATTTAGAAATAAAAGGCATTTTTCCTAGCCTGATTTTAGCCTCTGATTTGAACACTCTGTTTGAAGGGGCGTGTCTGCTGTGGGATTCAGTGTAGCCAGCCACTGCTGTGATTGGCTGACATGCTTGCATATGAAATAGCTATGTATTACATGTGAAACTCTCTCGAATACTTTTACTACAGGTATTATACGTTTTTACTATTACAGCTATCGAGATTAATGAATCGTGAGAAGTTTTTTTAAGTATTTAGATCTATTCCCATCACATAAAATGTTGCCGTGATGAGCATTGAGCAGATCACAGTCTGTTTATCGCGAGAATGAAGATCTTATCATTGCAAAGCAGTTTCTGCACTCTCTAATGCTTTCCCCAATGCAAACACGATGATGTACATACAGTAAGAGCTTCGTTGTGCAGTAACGTGCGTCCTTGATTTCATAACGAGTTGTCCAGATAAACTTGCGCTGTGTGGAAAGATTGTTCTTTGATTGCTTTCTGTATAATTTGTTCACAATTTAAATAAGATTATTTTCATCCTACTAAAAGAAACGATGTGAAGTTGATATTTTAGTCACTGGCTTGACTTATGCATAAACAGTATTGAACGATTTTGAGAGAAAGATTAACTTACCTGTCTGAACTTGAACAATTAGGCCACACATCAGACATTGTTGCTTGGTAGCTCGATCGATTTATTTTCAGACGTTCATCGAGGCCAGCTCTGTATTGGCCCAAGTTGAGGAAACAGTCGTCGGTGAAATGTTTGGACCATACAAAACTTTGGGAAGTTGTGTCGGCGCATTTCCAGAGAAAATAAAATTAACCCATTGTTTCTTCAGAGGCTCGGATGAAGGAACTAAAAAATACTTTTGTGTTCATGTGTACATCCGAACACTAATCAACTGCCATGGTTCGCTCGTTTGCAAGCCATGATATCTCTCGAGGGAAAACTCAAATCGCGCTCGCGCGTTCGTACTTCCTAGCTCAAATTCTCTGGGCGGGCAAAGCAGAGAAAGGGGAGGTAACCTTTCCTCCTTATGACGTCATACGGAGGAGATTCAAGATCAGCCCGTCTGAGCTTTTATTTTCTCAAAGGCAGAGAAAGATAGCCAAAGCTCGGTTTACACCGATTGAAATTTCTAGCCACTGGGGGACCATATACAGGCTAGGGGAACTCACATTAATGTTAAAAAACCTCAGAAAGTGGAAATTTCATGTCAGGGGACCTTTAACAGAATTGTTAGGTGAACTATATTAAGTGCAGGTACATATGAACACATTGTATAATTCTATAACTCATATCAGAAGTTCTTCACAAACCTCTCATCGGGTATCAAATCTGGTTGCGTTTTTGTAGTTGATGCAAAGTATGGCAATGAGTGCTCATCATCTGTTCAATGTTTGTACTTGCAAGTTTTTATAATTCATGTGGAGTCAAACAGTGCTCTGCCTGGTGAATTGAAATAGTCTTTTGCTTAGTGAGGCACAGAACACAAGTTGAGCACCTGCAGTGAACCTTTGCTTGGCGACAGCATGACACTGGAGATGGATAAGCTCCAGTTGCACATTTGACAGTGGTTTGTTATAATCATATGAGTGAGGGTGAGCCAAATTACAGCATCACATTCTACAGTTTTAATGCTCGTTCTTTAAACACAAAGCACTGGGATAAAACTGGCTTTATGACAAGCTAGACAGAAAATCCCTCTTCAGATCTTCACAACTGACTGCTAAGCATGAAGTGATGTGTAAATGTGTGTACGCAGCAGATGGGCAGCGTCTGAAGCCTGAAAAATGCACTGTATTGCGCTGTATTTCACAATTGTAGTGTAGGCATAGGAATCGTAAAGAAAAGGTTCTGTCTCTGCTCACGGTTCCTTAACGGCACTTGTAAGGCATACATTTTTTTTTTGGGGGGGGGGGGGGGGGGGGAATATATACATTTAAATTTAATATACATTTAAATTTAATATACATTGTTTATAAGTTTAGCATTCAGTGCAGAATTTGAGTGTTCATATCCATTTCGAATGGATCGCATATAGGCCTACAGACTTTCTCCGGTGGATGGTTGCAAAATTTCTGTTTACCGTAAAACTTCAAATAATAGCCGAGTCCCAAATAGACGCCTGTCTCTTTTACACGCCTGGTGTGGCTGCAGGTTTGGGTAAATAAAGGCCGGTCTCAAATAGAGGCCGGGTCTGTTTTTTAGTGTCGGGTTGTATTTAATCCTCTAAAACCGTCAGATCGTTCGCTTTTTGGCGGCCGCCAAAGCAAATTGTTGTCCCTCCAAAGCCTTTTTTGATCGATGAGTGATGTAGAATAGAATGACTGCTGCGCTTTACAGGGCGCGTTACGAGCAGAGAGAGAGAGAGAGAGAGAGCGCCCCGGCCGCGATATTTTTTTTCACAGGATGGTAGGGGAAGACTCATGAATATTCATTAGGGAACTCATCCCTGATTGGTCTTAACCCCAGTGACTGGTAGGTTTAGGGGCGGGGTTAGGGGGTAGGTCATCAGACCCCCAGTGACTGGTAGGTTTAGGGGCGGGGTTAGGGGTAGGTCATCAGACCCCCAGTGACTGGTAGGTTTAGGGGCGGGGTTAGGGGTAGGTCATCAGACCCCCAGTGACGGGTATGTTTAGGGGCGGGGTTAGGGGGTAGGTCATCAGACCAATCAGGGATGAGTTCCCTAATGAATATTCATGAGTCTTCCCCTACCATCATGTGAAAAAAAATATTGCGCCCCGGCCGCGCGCGCGCACTCTCACGTCTTCAAACAACACGAGCGCTGTCTTGCTCTCTCTCCCTCGCGCATATTAATCAAAATCAATCAATTGACACGATAGTAAAAGGTCGTAAGACCGCAGTTTCACGTGGAGCATTTGGAGATTTTTAGAGATTAGAGACAGGCCTATACACTCAATGAACAACATCTCAACACTAAATTATAAAGGCCTGTCTCATATAGACGCCTGTCTCAAATACAAGCCGGTGCAGTTCGACGATTTGGGAAAATAAAAGTCCGGGCTACTATTTGAAGTTTTACGGTAAACGTTAAGGAAATTAGTCGTTGCGCACATCCCTAGCATAAATGTTTCGTTCACTGCCTCTGATTTCACACAATCCTGTGCTTGTAGTTGGCGGTTGGTGGAAAGAATAAAAATGGCATCTGATTGAACAGTTGAAATAATTCAGTGTTTTATTTTCAACTTATGATTCCATTTCAAGCGAGGAATAAGCATTCTCACCTTAGTCCTTGGGACAAAAACGTAGAAAACCAATCCCGACTGACTGGCCAGCAAAGCAGCTGCCATGGACTCCATAAATTTCCTTTGGGAAGTTGGTGGCCAAATTAAGAGGCTGCTAAATAGATTAATCGGTTGATTAGCAATAGAGCCCTCTTTATTATTCAGAAGGCATCTGTTCAGCCACCTCTGCTGAGCTTGATTGCCTGAGGCCCCCTGAGGCCAGGACGGATCAGTGCGATCAGAAACCCTACCTGATCCCAGACAATTGATTTTTAATGAGACTTCAGCCCTCAGTATTCTGGCAGCATCTGGCTCCGATCTGAACAGGTGATAACTGGACTTAGTCGAGCCAGCGCGGCTTGACCTAACAGCCAGTGACGGAGTGCCGTTGTCTGCCAAGACCTCTGGAAACACATTCCTCAAGTAAGGTAACCAATACAAGCCCTGCTGTATGAGGGATTATGTTCCTGGCGGGCCGGGAATTGTTCAGTGCAATCAGTTGAAGAAAAAGTCACAGATTTATCTTCGGTCGATCCGAAGATGGTGACATTTAAAGGGAAGTGGGAATCGAGCTGAGCCAAAAGAGCAAACGTATTCATTGTCGGTTTTATTTATTTGTTATATTGTGCCCTTAAATTTACTCCTCAGGGTGAAATATAGTTCTTTGGCCACCTGAGGAGAAAAACTGACTGTAATGTTTGCTGTGCCATTGTTTTTGGGGTGTTAATCAAAGAAATGATATCTAGTTGGTAGACCTCCTCTTGGAGGATGTTTTATTGTATACTGAAATACAATTACAAAAAACAGAAACTATTATTTACAGTGGAGTCCGAACGTCTGAGACTCAGATTCAAAATCTAATTTCAAATAAGTAACTACTGACATTGATCATTTGGCTCTTTGTACGGAAGGTCAAATGTTCTTGCTTCTGTTGAAGCTCAATATACTTTTTGTATTATCTCAAATCATGATATAGAATTTTTTGGAGTTCATGCAAATTTCTCAGTTTATCCCAATTATGTAAATTCTTTAAATTATGTCAATAGCATAGTTTGTGTGTGTGTGCGTGCGTGCATATAAGTACTGGTCAAATTTTGGAAACATTACTATTTTTAATATTTTTGAAAGAAGTCTCTTATGCTCATCAAGGCTGCATTTATTTGTTAAAAAATCATGTAATATTTTGAAATATTATTACAACTCCAGTCTTCAGTGTTATATGATCCTAGAAATCTTTTGGGAATTTTTTTTTTTTTTTATAGAAATTCTTTTTAACTTATTATTTATCAATAAATCCTGAAAAAAGTATCGCAGGTTCCAAAAAATTTTAAGCAACACAATTTTTTCCAACACTGATAATAACTGAGTATCAAATCAGCATATTAGAATGATTTCAGATCAATGTTCCCTCTAAGCTGCGCGCTGTGCGCGGCCGCGCACTTCTGATGCCTCGGCCGCGCACTTCTAAATGAGGGGTAAGCGGCGGCCTCGCAGAAAAGAATAAAATGACACACAGAGGACTGACGCGAAACGTGTGGGGAAATCCATTTGATTGTAGTTTAAGTGAGAAATAATTGCAGTGCTCTGGTCAACCGCTATAGAGAGAAAACTGGTGAATGCAGTTTACAGGTTTCATAGAAAGAGAATGATGTGAGCACGTGTGATTGGCAGTGAGTCGTGTGTGCGGACCAAACAGCTCAATATGAGGGGCAACGAGAAACGCATAGACATGTGAAATAAAATCAAATCATAATGTTTTAAAGAAGAGTGGTTTGATTAAAGTGGTGGAAATAACGGTTATGGACACAGAACGGTAACAATTACACACCCACCCGCGTGCAAATTCATAGTTTAAATAGATGTTTTTGTCTGTGGGGGAGTTTCAGGGATGGTTAGATTATAAAAGATTAGATTATATTCATTTTTCTTGAAAATATTTAGCTATTAGATCTATTTAAATGCTTTGTTTTCATAATAATATAATATGTTAACAAATTTAAGCATTTAAACTGATATATTATATCACTTCAAATACTTCAATTCGTTTTTTTTATATTATATTATGCCTATATTTTATTATATTATAACCCTAAATAAAGAATCTCACAAGGGTATTGTTTAGGGCTCCTTGCCATTAAAAAGTTTGAAACCCCTTGCTAAAGAAAATATTGGAAATTCATAAGCAATAAACAATCATTTAACTTTGATGGTTTAATGCTTCCTGTACACAATTAATTGACTGTCAAAAACACTTTATGGTTTTCCCAAACCATCTCGGTGTAACAGCTTACTTTTCTTTTATACTATATTTTATTATTGTAAAGAATTGAACTGTCCTGCAGAAGATTTTGTAAATTATTTTTCATAGGATTTCTTGGTAAAGACTGTACAGTTAACAGCACTGTAAAAAAATATCAGGTAACCTAAAATGTGCTTCATTTAGTGACTTCTTAATTTGTTAAGAAGCTTGTTTTTCAAAAATATGATTTAATACCAATAAGTTACATCAAGGGTCAAATAAAATAGAAATGGCACATTCAAGTTAAAAGTTACAACTGAATGTTGAAACCATTGTGTTTCTACGTATGCTGTACAGGTCAGGTATAAAGAATATTTTTGCTCAGGTGGCGAAAAATGTCCGCCCAATAGAAAAAAGTTTTGCTCAGCAAGAAAAAAAATTAGAGGGAACATTGTTTCAGATATTGTAATAACATTTCACAATATTACTGTTTTTTCTGTGTTTTTGATCAAATGAATGCAGGCTTGATGAGCATAAGAGACTTCTTTCAAAAACATTAAAAATAGTAATGTTTCCAAACTTTTGACCGATACTGTATATATACATCCCAAGTGGTGTATATACCATTATTTATATATATATATATATATATATATATATATATATATATCATTGAACCTCGAAAGGAGGGGCTTCAAAGAGTTGCAACAATGTCAAATATGTGAAAATAATGTGTTTTTTTCTAACAGAAATGTAGACTTTAAAAGAGCATAATAGGTCCCCTTTTTAAAAATAGATAATAGCTGGGTTTCAGTCACGTGATTATGATGACGCGCGGAATTCAGATGGAGGGCAGGGAGTGAAGAGCGCAATGGACGAGATGGAGGAAAGTCCGTACTGTACTACTTTACACGCTATTACAAGAGAAAATATAAACAAAAAATCAAACATATGTTGTACGTGATCCTTACATTATGAAGAGGAGCGATTTTTCAACTGAATTGAAAGATTTTCCTGCCATCGAGGCGGTAGATATCAGCAACTACCTCGTCTTACAGACATACTTTGACTTTACAAAGTTCGGAAACGTTACACGTTAACTTACACGTTACACAAACATAGCCACTTAAGTTGTATTAACTCACCTTTGACGAAGTGATCACTGCACACACGGGCATTTTCCCATTCGGCTCCTCCCTTATGAACAACAACTTTTGGTACACGATAAAAACTCCTCGTGGTTTGATCGATTTAAGTAACCATAAACGACGCAAAACATAGGCATTTTGAGTTTGTTATAGTGCTTTCTAAATACAGCAAATTACTTCCTGCCCTCCATTTGCATTTCGCGCCATGGCAACGCAGTGGCGTGACGTCATATGAAAACAAGCTATAAACAATTATGTCGACCACGTTGAGTGGCCGCTGAGAGCATTAACAGTTGAAAATCGTGAGACATTTAGAAACCATAATTGACAATTTCTGCCTGTCATTTTAATTTTTCATATTAATAATAATAATAAATGTCAATATTAGATTTTGTTTTTTTTTGGTATGAAACTAACCAGTTTTTTACTCTGTGTAACTATGTACCCAAATAAGCACTTTGTTACAGTTTTTATCAGAGCAATCCACATTTAAATAGCTTTTCTTTCTCTTGCAGCTGTCTCTCAAATGCCGGGCTCCAGAAGTGTCTCAGTATGTGTACCAGATGTACGATGCCACTCTGAAGAACTGAACGCCTCTATCGTCCTTTTCTCTCTTTACATATTTGTCCCTTCCTCCCCAACCAGCCACCACCACCACCTCTGTGGCAGAGGATCCAGCTCTCCAATGTTTTCTGCCACTATTTTAAATCCATCTATAGGTACCAGTATCCTCAATGTGCCCACTATGCGTGAATCACACATGTTCCGTTCTAGCCAAATGTCTTGATGTTGTTAATAGTGTCGTAGGGAATTTTGGAACACAGCTATATATTTTTTAATTGTTTGAATGCATTGTCAGTACTTCACCTTCCCATGCCCTGTATTTGTCATCTTATGCGAAGAAGGCAAGAGTATACGTGTCAAATCTTTAAACTGAAGCAAGTTATGAAAGTTATACTGTTTTAATGGTAACCACTTAAAAATCACTATATCCCCTGAAATAGTACGTTTTTGATATACATCATGCGTTCTCTGAGATGCTACTTCATGCGATTGTACAACATTGCCAGCTATCTATTAGCCTTGCATGCTTTGACCAACATAAAACATCACATTCCTTTTAATGTTTTGTCTATCTTGTTCAGCTTAACCACTGTTGAACACGTCGACACTCCATCAATGTCTCATATCATTGAAACTGCTATGAGACAACTTAACGTGATACAAAAAAAAGACTCAAAACATGTTTTCTATCAATCTTGTATAAGTGGGTCATCTGATATTAATTCCCAGACTGAATCCATCCAAATGTGATATATTGAGCTTGTGAAAGTGAGTCGGTTTTGTGCGGTAGTTTTTGGAGTGTTAGAAATATCTGTTTAACATTATTATACAACCTCGCTCAGCTTTGGTTTACAAATAATACACTAACATATGGATGCAATAATTTTTTTTTAATAATGTAGACTCAGCGATACAAGGATGAATCACTTTTGGAGTGTTGAGTAGAGTTGAGTGCCCCCAACCCGAAACTTTATTAGTCTTCATGGTGGTGCTGGTGACTAAATGTGAACCTTTTTTGTTGCCATAGTTGCTAATGTGCCTGTGAACCTGCATGTAAGCAGTGTCCAATAAACATCTGCCAGTAAAACACTTGTGTAAGAAGGTGAAATATTAATACATTAACCTTTATATGTGCAAATGTGAGTTTTAATGATTATGATTTATACTGTCAATGTGCGTCCTAGTAATGAAATGTGAAGTCTGACATGCACAAATTCAACAAAAAGTCTGATCAAATTTCTCCAGGTTTATTTTATGGATAGTTGTAATTCAAAATAAAGTCAGCAGTGTTGGCCTCCCAAACATACACCCTCGTTATGTTTTTCATTATGAATTTCTCAGTTAACCTTTTTTACTCTGAATATTATTGCATTATGTGCATAATTTAAGAATAATTATAATTTAGTGTTTTTGTTTTACATGTATATATGTGTGTTATATAGTCATAGTCATATAGTCATACTGGCTTCTTTGCACATTACTTATCGCTTTTTTGTTGTTGTTTGCAGCTACTTACAACAAAAGGGGTTGGTTGGCTAAAGGGGGCCGCAAGATGGTTTAAAATTATTTGAAATAGGACAAAACAAACTTAAATTCTTATTTTAATATGTAACACTTAAACAACTGTCTATTGTCAAAAGCTGTTTATTTATTTTTATTCAAGAACTAGGGATCCTACGTTTAAAAGTGTGATTCTTAGCCGTAAAATAATAAATATGAAGTGTAGTGTGCATGTATACTTATTTATTTAATCAGAAATACAGTCAGAATTGCTATAAAAGTTTGAAAGAACAGCATTTACAAAGAACAGCTTGAAATGTAAATTCTTTTGTAAGATTGTAGATGCCTTTGCTATCACGTTTGATCAATTTATTGCATGCTTGCTGAATAAATGTATTTAATAAATACATAAATTATATTTTAAAATATATTCAAATAGAAATTGGTTCTTTTAAATTGTAATAATATTTCACAATATTCCTGTTTTTACTGTATTTTAATGATCCAATCAATTCAGCCTTGGTGAGCAGAGCATAAGAGACTTCTTTCAAAAAAAAAAAAAAAAAGGTATTCCAAACTTTTGACTGGTAGTGTATTTTAAAACCTCTAAAGCAGGGATCACCAACCCTGCTCCTGGAGGGCTACTGTCCTGCAGACTTCAGATCCAACCCTGTTCCAACACACATGCATGTAATTATCAAGTAACCCTGAACAGCTTGATTAGCTGGTCCAGGTGTGTTTGATTGGGGTTGGAACTAAAATCTGCAGGACAGTAGCTCTCCAGGAGCAGGGTTGGTGACCCCTGCTCTAAAGTGTCACGGCCCACCGGTGGGCCCAAATCCATTACATTTTTAAAACAGTAATATCCTATACTAAACCTAAACTAATCTTGACAAACTATATATCATTTGAAAGCTTACAATCTCTAGTTTCCATATTTGGTGGTATATTGGTGGAACGTGCGAGGGCTAATTTCTATAAAGACCCATTCAAATTCGTAAAGAAGTTATTCACCAGTGAGAAGAATGGCACTTTAAAAACATCTAGGATTGAGCTAGAGAGATATTTGGAGGACACGCATACAGATGCAAAAAGGCATGAGCCTATGTCAATTCCATCAGACATACCACCTATCAACCCACCAGAATACCAAATGGAGGTCTGTGCACCTAAGTGGAAAGAGGTAGAGCAGGCTGTGAGAAAGGCAAGGGCTTCATCATCTCCAGGGCCTAATGGAGTTCCGTACAGAGTGTACAAGAGTGCTTCAGGAGTTCTGCGAATTCTGTGGAAATTGATAAAAGTGGCATGGGAAAAACAGGTTGTACCTAGAGCATGGCGCAGAGCAGGTGGAGTCTTTATACCTAAAGAAAAAGATGCTACAAGCATCAGTCAGTTTCGTCCTATTTCACTATTAAACGTTGAGGGTAAGATTTTCTTCAGCATTATTGCCCAGAGATTGTCCACCTACCTGTTAAAGAATGGCTTCATTGACACCTCAGTTCAAAAAGCGGGTATTCCAGGGTTCTCAGGATGCTTAGAACACATCAATGTTATCTGGCAACGAATTCAGTCAGCTAAAAAGGAGAGGAAGGAGCTCCATGTGACATACCTGGATTTGGCTAATGCATATGGTTCAGTGCCACATGAGCTTCTTTGGGCAGCATTTGATTTTTTCAGAGTACCAATGTCAATAACAAATTTAGTGAAAGCCTATTTTGGAGATTTGGAATTCAGTTTCTCAACTCCAAAATTCAGCACTGCATGGCAATGCCTAGAGGTTGGAATAATGGCAGGATGCACCATTTCTCCACTGGCTTTTACCATGGCGATGGAAGTAATCATGAGGGCATCAAGATGGGTAGTAGGAGGAGAGCGCTTGGCTTCTGGGATGCGACTACCACCAATCAGCATACATGGATGACATGACAACCATGACTACAACAGTAGCCTGCACTAATCGGTTATTGGGGAAGTTAACAGATAATATTGAATGGGCACGAATGAAATTTAAGCCCTCTAAATCAAGGAGAATCTCGATAGTTAAAGGAAAGGTAGTAGATAAAACATTCTTCATTAATGGTGAGGCAATACCAACAGTTTCTGAGAAGCCAGTGAAGAGTCTTGGGAGATGGTACGATGGGGATCTAAAGGACACAGTTCGGGTGGGAGAAGTTAGACGACAAGCAGTGGAAGGGTTGAAGAGCATAAACAGCTGTGCTCTACCTGGTAAACTAAAACTCTGGTGCTTTCAGTTTGGTCTACTGCCGAGGTTGCTGTGGCCACTGACCGTGTACGAGGTTTCTTTGACAACAGTGGATAAGCTGAAAGCGTTGGTAAGTTCATACATCAGGAAATGGTTGGGAGTTCCACGATGCCTCAGCAGAGTAGGACTTTATAGTAAAGGAATATTGCAGCTGCCAGTCTCTGCTTTAACCGAGGAGTTCAAGTGTGCCAAGGTCAGACTGGAAATGACCTTAGTAGAGTCACACGACAAATGTGTAAGGGAGGCAGCCCCTGTGTTAAAAACTGGTAGAAAGTGGTCAGCAAAGAAATCTGTAGTAGAGGCAAAGGCTGCCCTTCAAATTAGGGATATCGTGGGACAGGTACAGCATGGAAGAGGGGGTTTTGGGCTCAGTTTAGCTCCTCCTAAATGGCACAAGGCAGGCCCAGTTCAAAGGAGGAAGCTGGTAGTCAACGAGGTGCGACAGCAGGAGGAGAGGATGAGGTGTATAAAGGCCATTTCACAGGCCAAGCAGGGAGAGTGGATGAGATGGGAGAGTGTGGCACAACGTAAGATGGGCTGGAAAGACCTTTGGTCAATGGAAGAGAGTAGGATCAGGTTCCTTATTAGGTCAACATATGATGTTCTCCCATCACCGCAGAACCTAAACCTCTGGGTAGGAGAGGATCCTTCTTGTCCTTTGTGTTCATCACCTGCCACATTAAGGCACATTTTGACAGGATGTAAGGTGGCTCTTAGCCAAGGTCGGTTTACTTGGCGCCATGACCAAGTACTGCGATGTTTGGCTTTAGCATTAGAAGGCAAGCGTAACATGACCAATAAGTTGCCACCTGTTCTAGCAAAACATTACACGCAGAAGACAATATTCCTCCGCCCAGGCGAGCAACCACCAAGAAAAGGTGTTAACACCAATTCTCGCCCAGGACAACTGGAAGCTGCTAGGGACTGGAAGATGCTGGCTGATCTCGACCAACGGCTTATTTTTCCACCTGAGATTGCCACCACTAACCTACGACCAGATATTGTTTTGTGGTCTGGATCAGCACGCATTGTTCAACTGATAGAGTTAACAGTGCCATGGGAGGATGCGGTAGATGAGGCATATGAGAGGAAGAAACTGCGGTATGCTCATCTGGCCACTGAAACAGAACAGCGAGGATGGAGAGTCCAGGTTTATCCAGTGGAAGTGGGTTGTCGAGGTTTTGTGGCACACTCTACAACCCGGTTCCTCAGAGACGTCGGATTCAGTGGCCAAGAGTTGCGTCGCACAGTAAAGAACTTATCTGAAGCAGCAGAAAGGAGCAGCAACTGGCTGTGGTTGAGACGGAAAGATTCTAGCTGGCTGTGTACAGGCCGCCACGCTACGGTTTCGTAGAGTTCTTGAAAACTTGAAGAGTCTGTTGGTTTGTTTGTATACGTTCCTGTGGATATTGCGTGAATGACGGGTGGTTGGGTAGATATTGTGTTTTGCGGTAGGTGGTATGCCATACGGAACCGTTGTCCACTGAAACTGCATATTAACGCACCAGTGGGGCTCGACAGCCTTAGTCAAACGGGTTGGCGCGTATGGTTGGGTCGCGGAGAGATTGTGATATTGTGGTTAGGTCTCAGCAGCAAGAGGGATGTAGAGGTCAGTAAGCTGGGCTGAGTTGAGTGGGGGACGGAGGGGGGTGACTCTGGGACGCCAGAGTCACTGTCGAGCCCTCTTGAGGTGTCGTGGGCTAGTCGACGAAACACTGAGGACGGAAGGTGCCCACTTGAAGACCCTAGAGATGTCCCCTACTCGGTTCAATCCAGACGGTTGTCGTGCTGGTCCTGTAGTTGCAGCCGTCGCGTGCGCTAACGCGCCAAGTACACTGCTGCCGTTAACGCCGGACAGAAGGGGAGTCACACTACCTTATGGAAAGAAGCGTAAATGGATGGAGAAGCATAGTTTACTGTAAAGCTACGTCTTAGTTTTGCTTATCTTGGCGAAAGCCGAGTACAAATCAGCATGAAGTTTTAACATCTACTCTCGTGTAATGGAAATCTTCAAAATAAATTACAGAGGAGCCGTAATTTATCAATTTGCAACAAGAATATTTTCATACTCCTAAGGCGTGTTTAGACCTTTATTTTTTTAAATAGTGATGAACATGAAA